CCGCAGCAAAAGCCTCGGCTTCGCGTCCCATGACGGTAGTGTCTGAGGAGTGTTTCAGTCATTCCTTGTTGTGGACATTGAAATCTCCGACAATGGTGACTTGACTGTTAGAATCTGCCGACATTAGTGTCTCAGTGTTGGAAGACAGAATATCAAAAGNCGCTGCTGCTCGGGGAGCGGTAACTGGTACAAAAATAGTGGTTGAAAGAAGGGAATCGAAGTCTCATTCACATAAGCTGAAATTCACGGTTAGAGAAGCCCAAGTATGAAAGTCGGGAAGAAGCGACAGAATGATGGATACAGGCGCAGGCACCAGCTTTAGAAAGAACAGAAGAATGGAGGGAATAATTAGGGAACTAAAGATGAATGGTGTCTGACGAGGGGGGATTTGTGTCTCCGTCAAAATTGAAGTCAAGGGGGAAGAATGATTGTAAAAAGTGGTGTACAGAATTAACGTTTCGATTTAAACTACGAATGTTGGTAGGGGCTATGGAGTGTTGTAATGCCTCAATAGGTTGAGCGTGGTAGTGAGATGGGGTTGCCTACCACCACTTTCGGTTAGTTGTAGACACTGAAAAGTATGCGACTAACCGACAGCAGTGGCGTCCTTTTTGTTATTTCCTAATAGGGTAGAACGCCTAAAAAGGTATGTGCATAGTTATGTTTTGCACTCTCCGTCTTCACTGTTGAGGTTCACTTTCTTTGCCTCCATCGAAGTAAACCCAAACCCTATCCACATTGTACTTTCTGACTCACTTTGTATATATAGTGAAGTGCGATGGGCGAAGTTCACTCTGCTGTACGATAATGACGATTCTCAGTCCGCTTATCTTTTGATTCTAACCAACTGCTTATAATGTTTTTATGCTGGTTCCCTTTTATATCTCAGCTTGCTGCTCGTCCTGCGCGCAAGTTTTTTTTCCGTGCCAGACACTTCACCCCAGCTGATCTACCGCGCAAAGTCCAAATCCACCCTGCTCTTCAATATTGTAGTCGCGTGTGAGGTGGGACTTGGTATTCTGTTGACAAAGTATTGAAAATCGGTTCTCGTACCTCGAGTGAACTGAATTCTTTTTCTCCTATTCGCCAAGCTTGGTAATTTGCCAACAAATGGCCAAGTTCGGCGAACAGGGGAAAAGGAACTTGGTCTTCTTTTATATTCCATTGTATCCAATAAAAGTTCATCCGGTTGATCGATTAATCCCGTGACTTCGAATATGCAGTCACTAGCCTATAGTCGGGCGGTTGCTTAACTGTTCATCCTCCACCGTTCGTTCTCTCTCACACAAAACCCCTGTACGAAATTGCAACGTTAACGGTTGTATGGACTGAATTGAAATGAACATAACAGATGATTTACATTTTGAGTAACTTTAATTATTCTTGATTGCTTTTATAGCATATTCGATAATTCACGACTGCTTATCTGTCTCATGTATCCGTCTTCCGTACCAAGGCGCAAAAAGGTGGAGCAGGAATTGTTTAATACACTCCCCACATTAGAGCCAGAAGAATTTATTTGTAAAGTAAGTGTATTATTCCTCGTAATGTGATCTCTATCAGTTAAGTAAAAGTCAAGGAAATTATATGTTTACTGCCTTCACTGAAACCAATAGTGAAGTTGTGATCACAATACCTGAACGATTTCGCAACGCATTTTACTTCGCACCCGGGGACTTCGTTCTCTGTAGCCCAGTTGAAAGCAAGCGGATCAAAGGTGAAATCCGCGCGCTACTTCGTGAGGCACAAATACGTCACCTCGTTGACATAGGATCTTGGTAAGTCTCAGAATTTGTGATATCCTATTATTCCATCGCACTGAATTCACTCCTTGTGGGCTATTCCGTTAATTAACGAGCATATCAAGGTTCATTAAAGGCAAGCCTAATTGAAAAAATGGCAGATAGTCTTGTTAGTTTCTCATTAATAAGTTCTCTACTCGACCATTGCTTCATTCCGTGTTTGCTCTGACGCGACAGATTGTATGTCACGGAAGAAACATTGAATGCAGAACAATAAGGTGAAAAGGTTTTTGTCTGTTTTCCCCCGACGATGTTAAAGGCTTCCAATTATCCGTTTTGTTTTTGGGTTTCGGCATTTCCAAAGACTGGTTCCAATTCTGAGTCATATTCTTCAGTTTATTTAATCACCGATAATCATCATCCGTGTATCCAACTTTTCAAGTCAAGTCAAGTATTTGCTTTATGCACCCCGAAAGGTGGATATTCAGCAGTCACA